ATTCTTTAGGGAGCTTTAGAACAGGAGGTGGAAAGCACTTACCGGGAGGAAGCTATAGGTTTTCTCTCCGTATAGCCTGTTAGCCAGTTTCAGGACATAGGAGACGTCCCGCTTATTGATATCCGCGTTCAGAGTCTGAAATCTGGAGTGAACGTCCTCCACCTCGTCAAAATGAAGAGACTAGAACGAAGGAAACATTTTCCATGAACGTTGACTGGCGTCTGCTTTCTTCAAGGTATGTGTTTCAACGACTATCCACTGATGACCCTCAGCTCGCACCTTCTAAGGTTTTCATAGAACAAATAACACAGATCCAGAATTCACAGCATCGTGAGGTAAAATCCCAACACCAGGCACGGCCTTTCCGTCACTCTTTTGCTTATAATCTTAGTTCTGCAGATATGAGTGGTTATTAAACTAAACATTTCTACAAGCCATTTGTTCACCAAAGAAAATCATAAGTGGTGTTTTCATGTATATTCAAATCCAATTTTGTATCATCACATTTTACCAAACATAATTTTACCGAAGGTTCTGAGAAACAAAATGAAAACTCTTCACCTTGCAGGAACACAAACTTATCACAGGTTGAGGGCTTATTTAAAACGACCCCATGAACATTTCGTGACTCACTTATTTCAAAAATACTTCTTTAAACATAACACTTGCCAAAAGCTTAATTCCCCACGTCAATAGCAAATCAAGAAGCCTTTTATGGCTTTATGAGGCCTGGGCTGGCCCCGGCTTTTAAAACACAAAGCAAACCCACAATGAGCCGAAGTCCAGTCACCCGCCAGATAAGGGATGTTTACCTGGCGCTGTGATCAACCTGTTATAATGGGAACAGCGGAAGGGGCCTGGACGCTCCCGGCTGGGCCACCCCGGGGAGCCCCAGGGCAGCGGCCCGAGGCCCCTTTTCAGAAGCAAACGCAAGGAAGAAACCCAGTGGAGTCACAGAACGCTCACAGGCTTTGCCCTCTGTGGCCCCGGGGATGCGGTCTGCTCACCAGACGGCCCCCGAGCGTGGTCACGGTGAGGGGCAGGGGCTCTGGGGTACCAGAGTACCCCACCACCTGCCCCCCTGGCAGGCCAGTCCCCCACCATTCCAGCTCAGTGCCTGCCCTGGGCGTCGCACCCTCAGAAGTGACCGACCCGCAGCGTCCGTCCCAGCAGGTCTGCATGGCGCAGCTGACCGGGACAGGCCTGTTCCCGCAGGGGAGGCTGGGCCCGCACACGCCAGGGCTGGAGCCAGAACGCAGAGCCCGCACCCCCACCTCTGCCCCCAACCTCACCAGTCACACGCGTGCCTGGACCTAGCAGGTGCTCACTGAGGGGACTCACGGGGAAGCCCGCAGCGAGTGGACGCGCTGGCCTCCCTGGAAGTGCCCCCCGCGGTGTGGGTCCAGCCAGAGCAGATTCACAGGTGCAGGAACACCCCAAAGGCCGCTCCTCCCTCACCGACCCCCCCAGACACCGGGGCGGGGTCTCTCCTTTTGTCCTTTTGTCTCTTCTGCTGACCTTGGACACCTGGGCTTGGGTGTTGCCTCTGGTCCCCAGGGAGATCATGGCCAGCGCCGAGGAGATGCTCAGGGGGGCGAAGAAGAGGTTCCCAGAGGGGCTGTCTTCACTCAAGGTGTGGAACATGTCCAAGGCGAAGGCGGAGTTGGCTGCGCTCAGCTGCTCCATGGCGGGGCTGAAACACAGCGCGCTGGGCACTCTGGGGGGGGGACCCGGCTGCCCAGCCACCGCGCCCCAGCCCAGCC